GACATGCTTGGTATAAGGCAATCGATTCTGGTTAGCCACAAAGTTTGAGCTCAACTCCTCCCCATCGTGCCAGCAGAGGGACTGTTACTCCTTACCCATGGAAGCTCACATGGAGATACCTGCTGCTGGCATGCTATGTAATACAACCAAAAGGTTTGGATCCCAGGTCCTATAAGCAAAATCTTAAAAGGTATGTTATTCTCCACACAGTACCTCTCCATTTCACTGGCACAGCAATTCAGGAAGATGTCTTGTATGAGAGCTGGGTCATCCATGACTTTTTAGTGCCCCTGTAGTATGCTGGCAGTGTGTTTACTTATATGCTTGAAGGCACTGGGGTTCTCCCTGTGCTACCCTGTTTCCTCGAAAATAAGACAGTGTCTTATATTAATTTTTTTCTACCAAAGTTGTGCTAGGTTTTATTTTCAGGGGATGTCTTATCTTTCCATGTGCTAGGTCTTATTTTTGAAGGATGTCTTATTTTCGGGGAAACACGGTAGATCACCAAGGGTTTCCCTTTGCAGCCTGCAACACTGCCCCAAACAGTCTGTTATCCCGTCCTTAAAAGCCTTGAAACCTGACACTGACATGGTCTTCTACGGATGAAAGTCCTTTCAGGCATCCGTTTCCAGAACAGAGAGGTCTCATCCATATTGAATATTTTCTCTGGAAAGTCATTTTTCTCCCACAACCAGCTTATCTAGAATTTCCAAAAATTCTTCAGCTGCCTTCACATCAGCACTCGCAGACTCATCTCTCACTTTCACATTATGGAATGAATAACCATTCTTAATTGTTTAATTCAACAGTCACTAACTGGTGATCTACAGACCATGAGTCTGAAAGGTTGTCAACTGGTTTAAACCACCCAGAACTAGTGATAAATTCAACACAACAGTCATGTTCAGCCTTTTCTTTCAATTTTTTTTTTTTTTTTTGCTTTGGCCATGATTATCATGGTACTAAGTACACTTCTATGTCTATCTTTTAATCCAGGTCGTTAGAAGTTTCTCCACATCTGACATTTTTTGTTCTCATTGCCTTCAATAAAGCAAGTTGTTTAACAGCATCTGTCACTGATCTTGGTTTTTTGTTGTTAATTCTCACCATTGATTTTTATAGAGTGGAAGAGAGATGAACATCAATGTGAGACACATCAATTGGTTGCCTTCCACACATGCCCTGATCAGGGCTGGGGAATGAGCCTGCAATCAAGGTATGTGCCCTTGACTGGAAATGAACCCATGACCCTTCAGTCTGCATGCCGACACTATCCACTGAGCCAAACCAACCAGGACACTGTTCTTGTTCTTACAGTGGAACTAGAGGCCCAATGCACAAAATTTGTACATGGGTAGGGTTCCTAGGCCTGACTGGCAATCAAGGACGATCTGTGGGGCAACTGGTATGGTGATTGGGGACTCCCACTGGCACCCACCTTAGCCAGCCTGGTGCCGGCCCCTCCCCCACTGTCACCGCTCACCTCCCTCTTTGGAGCAACTGGTGGGGTAATTGGGGGGCCCCTGATGACAGAGGCTGCAGGCTGGGGGCAACTCCTGCACTGAGTGTCTGCCCCCTGGTGGCCAGTGCACATCATAGCAACCACCACCATTGGGCTGTTTGGTCAACTTGCATATTAGGCTTTTTTTTTTTTTTTTGTTAATATATTTTATTGATTTTGTACAGAGAAGAAGGGAGAGAGAGAGTTAGAAACATCGATGAGAGAGTCATCGATCAGCTGCCTCTTGCACACCCCCTACTGGGGATATGCCCGCAACCAAGGTACATGCCCTTGACCGGAATCGAACCCTGGACCTTTCGGTCCCCAAGCCGACGCTCTATCCATTGAGCCAAACCGGTTTCGGCGCATATTGAGCTTTTATTATACAGGACTAGAGGCTTGGTGAGTGAAATTCATGCACAAGTGGGGTCCCTAAGCCTGGTGGGCAATCAGGGTCAGGCTGATCAAGACCAAAGGCCCTGGCAGGGGTGGGAGAGGAGGTGACTGTCACTGGGCCAGGCACGGAAGGAACAGAAGCCAGACTCCAACACTGCCCTTGGCACTCTGTCGCCCCACGGTTCCCAGCCTCTCCCCCCCACCCCTCCTCCTTCCCTTGGTGCCATGCTGCCCCCAGGGGCCTGCTGGCCAGGGGAGAGCTGTGGGCAGGGTCCAGGGGAGGTTTCAATCCCCACTTAGAACATGCAGGAGGCAGGAAATCAATGATTCTTTATCATTATTGATGTTTCTATCTCTACTTCCTCTCTCTGAAATCAACCAAATATATATTTTTAAAATGCAAGGTTTTTAGAGGAAGAAAGGTAGGGCAAGGGAGCTATTGACAGGGGGTATTTAAGATCTTGCTCACGTTTCAAATAGGATAACATGGGGTGACAGGTAAGGAGTGGCAATAGGTGGAGCAGGGCACTGCGGGCTGAGGAATGGGCTGTAATGACTGGGAATGTCTGTGACAGTGACACTGAGCTTGTGTCGGGGCCCTCGCTGGGATCGTTCATCCCCAAGAGGTTTTGATTCCGGACAGGAGGAGAAACACAGAGGTCAGCGGGCCTTTCTTAGCCAGAAGGTGAGGCGGGTGGCAGAAGTGGGCTGCCATGCTTCACTACAAGTGTAAACACACAGTGCAACTGCACATGGATGTCTGTCAGTGGCCAAATCAATGCCCAGCCAACCCTAATGGCCCTGTCTTGCCACGCTCTGGCTTTGCTGCAGTGCTATTGGCCAGAGAGGTCGAAGCCACGCCCCCAAACGCACAGAGTATACAAAGGGGCAGCCAGAAGCTGGAAGTCAGAGCTGAGGCACCCTGGCAATGCTGCATCCTGTCTGCCATGGAGCTTGCTGGGGAGCAGCTGCTGGTGTGACCAGCTTTGAAGTCGGAGGGGCTGCTCTTCCTGAACATCACAGGTGAGTCACGGTAAGCCTGCAGCGTGCCTGGGAGGCCTTTCCCTCCTGGAGCCCTTCTACCCAGGGTGGCAGCATTAGGCCATTTTTTTTTTTCTTTTTCCCTCTTTATTTTTTTTATTAGAAAGTAAGCTCTGGGCTTGCAGTCTCTGGGATCCCTGGGTCATAGTGTGCACCTCCAGGCCTCACTGCACCTCTTTCCCCCTCCTCCTGTGTTGAGCATCTGGCCCCTGGTGGTCAATGTGCATCATAGCAACTGGTCAAAAAGTTGTTCTGGTTGTTCCACCTTCATGGTTGCTGGGCTTTTATTATATAGATGGGACATGCCTGACTGATGAGCAATAACCATCATGACTTTCCACTTCACAGTCCTTAATCACTTTCAGTCTCATTTCTAGGTCAACCTCTCAACATAATCTCTTACTGGCAACAATAGTAGTGGATTCTGTATGCTTAGCGGTCATGATGAACAAAATTACATAAAATTAAATCAAACACAAGAGAAAATAATGCAATCAAGAGACCCAGTAAAAATTAGCTGCTGCTGCATAACATACTGTTTTACTGCAAACTTATTTCCTTAGAAGTAGAAAGAGTGCTTCCAAAACTAACAATAAAAAGTATAGTAAATACATGAACCAGTAACATAGGTGTTTAATACCATTGTCAAATATTAGGTGCTGTACATAATTACATGTGCTATAGTTTTACATGACTGGCAATGCAGTAGGTTTGTTTACATCAGCATCACCACAAACATGCAAGTAGTGTGTTGTGCTAACACATTAAGACAGCTACAACATCACTAGGCAATAAGAATGTTTCAGCTTTATAATAATCCATCATATCTGGTCCATTATTGACCAATACAGCATTATGAGGTGCATGACTACAGACACTGTGAATGGCACAAGGTAAAGAATCCAGAATGTATTGATGTTTCTCTACCTGGCAGTCAATCTGGCATGGCTCAAACTCCAAACTTTATCTCCTCCATGGTGAGCTGCAACTGAATTCTCTACTCAGTTCTTCCAGCTCAGAGCTACTATTGTTTGCCAGGTTTCCTAGAGTCTTCCCCTATAGGTGTACAGTTCATGGGCCAAACAAGGATTTTTGTAGTTTAAAAATGATTTTGAGGCACACCCATTTGTGGCTCCCTCCTTTCCAGGATTTCCACCCTAAGTTTTCATCCCTCTTTCAATCTCAAACTGTGTTCTGATCCCTCTGCCCAGGAAATACTATACCTTCTTCCTGTGATCCCACCTTAGAATTGGAACTTCCCTTAGAAGACTACCCAGAAATACCTAAATCTCACCCAATATAGCTTCAGTTGTTCAGGCATCAACTTCTCTCCAGTTTTTTTGCCTCCTTTTCACAAATCACCAGTATTTCCAAATAGTTGTGGCTTTTCTTGTTTTGTTTTCTTTGTTTGTTTTGGGGGGATAATAGTTTTATACTGATTATACCATAATCATTATTTGCAAGAGGGCTAATATGACCAAGCTGCTCCACCACTGCAGAAAGCTCAACTGAATATTTTTGGATATCCCATTTTATCTTTTCTGTTAACATTTACATTATATATTTTAGGTATTTTTAGTGGGTACTCAAGAGATCACAGTATTTATTCCTAATATTACCACAGTGAACAATATAAGAACCTTACATATGTAATTCTATTTTTCTTCCTCCTGCCCTTTAAGGAATTTAAATAAATAAATGAAACGCAATATTTCAATAGTCTCTTTTATAAAAATAAAAGGGATAAAAAAAGATTCTTAATGTTACTTCCAGTTTCCACATTTAAGGATTATTATTTTTTCAAACTTTGGATTTTTTTGTTTAGGGTCAATTTGTTATTTTACTATTAACAATCATAATCTATTAAATACATATACCAGAGCATGTATTAAATTTTTTTTAAACTTGTGTTACTTGGAATTCCATGACTTTTTTTTTTAATTCAGAAAATATGAAATATGTAAGGTCAGCAATGCCCAAGAAATATTCATTAAGAAAATAAATTCTGAGGCATATTTACTAGCAAAGGAAAAATTATTTAAGTTTAGATGAAGACACTTACCCCTCTTCATTTTCTCTTAGTAAGCGACTGGCAATTCGGATCAGCATGCAGTAAGCAAATTGTGATTTGAGACCGGATTTTGTAAATTTACTTAACATCTTAGAAACAGCAAGGCGATCATTCTTTTTAAGGTGATACAGGACTCCCAATGCATGGTACTAAAATACAAGAAAAAGAATGTAACACAGAAAACGAAGTAGGAAGAAAACAAAATTACATGAAAGTGGAATCACATGAAACTAGATTTTTATAAAAAGATTCTAAGGTCAAAAGTATACAGGTAGAATAGCTTTTTTCACATTGAATCAAATACAGGCAAGACTAAAAGGATACTTTATCCCCAGGAGGTGTAAATTTAGATTGGACAAGTATTAAGAAGATAACATACAATCTGAAGGTACATCTGGCAGGTCAACCTTGCCCCACTCATCCTTAGTACAAAAGTCTCCGGTCCATAGGTTTACCAGTGTGCCAGGCCTTTGAGTGGCTTTACTGGTAAATCACCTGTGACCATGTCAGAAGTTAAGGGATCCGTCTTTTGAAGAAGGCTTAAGGAGTGCACAAATATTATCATTAGCACCTTGTGTAAAAACACAATGGTGGTATTAGGAGAGTGAGATATTTCCCATGAGAAAAATAACTACTGTGTCACCTCATAACTGAATATGCTAACATCAGAAGTTATAAACACAGAAAAGGGTTAAGTAAGTACCCTCTCAAACACAAATGGGGTACTTTACATAAAATTGCCAGTTTAAGGATTTAATCTTGTTCCTTCTAATTAGGAGCAGCCTAATGAATATCAAAAGGAGATCATTCCAACAAAATGGTACTAAAGTTTCATAATGTAAAAATTGCTCTTTACTGTTGTTATAATGTTTACTATAATCAAGGCCTGAAAAGCCTGGAATTGTACATCCTTCTTCACAATTTATTTTTCAAATAAAAGATTGAAACGCACTGTGAAGGACCTTTGGAATGAGCCTCTCAAACTACTACTGAATATTAAGTTTTCTCTAACCTTCGTACTGCTTCAATTGAACACTAGTGGGGCCTAGAGTAGTAATCATAATTATTGGGATACCTACTTGAGAATATGCACTCCAGGCTGCTTAATATTAGCCTTTAGCTAATACTCATTTTTTGGAAATCAATAAATTGCCCCTAGGGTTAAAGAAAGCTGATCTTGAGATAGAAGCTAAAATGATTCAATATCATACCTGGACCATAATATTATCACTTGTAGCAGCTTCTTGGGCCTCATTGACCCAGCGCTTAACTACATCATTGCTTATCTTCATCAGGTGCTAAGGGCAGAAAAAAAACAATAGATAATGCATGGTCACTACAAGTTTAGAAGCATGAGTTCCTTTTCCAAAAGACATTAAAAACAAAACAAAACAAAACAAAAAATGTGTAGCTTAATAAGTCTATTTCTAATACAACCAAAAGTACTTTCTCCAAGATCCCCTAGAAAGGGGAGTAACGTATATGTCTGTAGGCCAAGAGATATGAATAAAAGAAAAGAAAGGAGAGGGGAGAGACAGGAAGGGATGGATAACAATATAAGTTTTACTTTGAGGAGACTCACCTAGAAGAAAAAATTAGAGAACCACTACCGTGTTTCCCCCAAAATAAGACATCCTCCGAAAATAAGATCTACTTACAGGTTTCCTTCTGAGTGAAATATAAGATTATCCTCCCCAAAAATAAGGCCCCCCCTAGGCTAAACATGAGAGATTTGGTCCACTGATTCTGAAAGAAATGGAGTCACAAGAAATTCACCAGGAAATTCAGAAATTGGATTGTTATGATGATGTTCCAGAAGATGACATGATTGTCATTGAATAAATGAGTAAATTCTTGATACTGTAGGATTCACAGTTTGTCTGGTTTGTGTTGACAACTACTGTACCGTATACAGGTAATAAATTTCCTTTATTTTCATTTAACAATAAATGTGTACCGTACTCTTCTTCATGGAAAAATAAGACATCCCCTGAAAATAAGACCTACCGCATCTTTGGAAGCAAAAATTAATATAAGCACTGTCTTATTTTCAGGGAAACAGGGTATATCCTCTTGGTCAATTATATTCCAGAACCAGATACTCCTCTGATTCAGATGATTGAATCCATTTACACATTAGTAATCAATGTTAATTAAACGCAGCGTGATAGATTGTAAGTAATAAATTTTGTTTTGATAAAAAAGAGAAAGAAGCCGAAACCGGTTTGGCTCAGTGGATAGAGCGTTGGCTTGCAGACTGAAGGCTCATGGGTTCGATTCCGGTCAAGGGCATGTACCTTGGTTGCAGGCACATTCCCAGTAGGGGGTGTGCAAGAGGCAGCTGATTGATGACTCTCTCTCATTGATGTTTCTAGCTCTCTATCCCTCTCTCTTCCTCTCTGTAAAAAATCAATAAAATATATTTAAAAACAAAAAGAGAAAGAAAAGGCTACTTCCTGGGAGAAAATTTAGAAGTGGGACAGGAGACTTTGGGTTGAAGGACACTGTGGGCAACAAGGAAAGTAGAGAACCAAGAGGCAAGGGGTAAAAGTACAGGTCATAACAGGAGATTTTAAAAGAGACTGAGAGCCCTGGCTGAGTAGGCTCAGTGGGATAGAGCATCATCTTCTAGGCCAAGGCTGCAGGTTCAGATTCATTTCTCTCTCTTTCTTCCCCTCCCTCCAACCCACCTTCCTCATCTAAAATAAATAACTTTTTAAAAAAATAAGAGATCAACCCTGTTTCTTCCCTGTCTTTCCCTCACCCATACCTCCCATCTTTAGTATGTGTAAAATATAACTTTCTGATTACCAAACCCTTAAAACCCATGAAAATTTCATGTTTTTAACTTAATTGCTCAATACTCCTCTGGCAGATAAAACATTCTTGGATAAAGTAATAGAGATATACACATATTTTTAAAATGTTTCATTTGTGAGAGAATCACTTTGCTTTTGCAGCTAGAAACCGTACCATGCATAAGAACTAGGCAGCCACTGTCTTGTTCACTTACTAAGGAAGATACCAATGCTGAGCTGGATACACTGGGGACTCTATCCACAATGGCCTGCTTCATGTATCTTTCAATGGCCTGCAGCAATGTTCCCTAATAAAATTCAGAGAGAAAAGTTGTTGAAGCAAAACACTTCCTCGCTATTATGACCACTTCAAAATAATTTACGAAAACCAGTCATATATTAGTTTCTGTGTAAATATTTAGACTGCATTAAAAAGGATTAGCATATAATAGAGCAATCATAGCCCATCCAGCAGAACCCAGACAACTGGAGTGGGAACTTCAAGGAAAGGTATTTATATGTAAGGAAGACAAACAACTATTCAACAATGAAATAAACTGTCTCAAAGTGAGAGCTACAATTCGAGGAAATACATAAGCAGGGTTCAACCTACCAAGGATGTTGTAAAGGAAACTCCTAGATGAGGACAAAAGGTGCTTTTGAAGTCCTGAAGATTCCTCTATGGGAAGGGGATCTATTTTATATGGATCCCAGAGAGTCTTATGAGTCAAATGTAAACTCTGATTATTTTATAAACATAATTAAATGTATATACTACAATACTTTTATGTATATACATAATTTGATATACTACTATAGTGAGCTCTCAATACAAAATCCTCTGAAAACAAAGTTATTTTTAATGTAACTGGAAGAAAGCTTAGCACTGGAAAAGTGCTGGCCCATGAAGATACGTAAACAGACTGAAAGTTTTTTAGATAGAGTCCTATTACTACCGGTAGCACTAGTATCGTCAAGTCTACGTCACCAACTTAATATGATACTAAAAACAAAAATAACCACAATAAAATAGCTGAGTAACTGTTTTATTAAAATATTAAAGCGTTTCTATTATTCCTTCTAGAATCCAGACTTACCATTTGATCCTGCTCAAGTTTTAAAACTTGAGAGGATTACAAACATGTACCCATGCATTAGTATATCTGAAATATTATTTAATTTGCTTATCAATGCCCAGCCTGCCCTCCATTTTAACCTTTCCTACTCACAGTTCCAAGAAATGGACAGCCTAACACACTATATACCCTCATCTCTCCAAATTAATAGACACAGATACAGGTGTATACAAGCCTCTGGGCTGGCTGATGACTTAACCAGGTTCTCTTCCTTAACTATTTGAATGACAAGGCTTGAGCCTGGTAAATGGTGGATCATAACAGTAAGCATCTAAGAAATCTTGCCGCTGAGTTCCTTTCTTGCACTGACATCTGGTCATAAGTTTTACCTCAATCTCTGAGTGATCTATAATTCTGTAAGAACACTTCTTTTTAAAGCTAAATTCAAATGGTATTTTGTTTCCTGTAAGCAATGAGCCCTGGCTATAACAAAAGTGTATGAGGGAAAATAGAGAAAGAAATAGACTAATCTAAATAAACAAAAGGAAAAAACAGTCTGAAAGAAAAGAAGCCTGGAAACACAAAAGCCTTCCTGGTGGTCCTGTTTCTCTCACACAGACATATCTCGGAGATACTGCAGGTTCCAGCCACGCGATCATGCAAATATCACAATAACGCAAGTCACATGAACTGTTTGGGTTTCCCAGAGTATATAAAAGTTATGTTCACACTATACTGTAGTCATTCAAGTGTGTAAGAATAGCATTATGTCTAAATAAAAATGCAGTATCTATGAAGCACAATAAAATGAGGTGTGCCTGTACTGAAGATTCACAGAGTCAGACTAGGGAATGCTACTCACTTTAGATGGCCTCCTGCAGATAAACAGAGTTTCACCCCCCACCCTCACTTGACACAGCAGCAAAACAAGAACTTACATCAGTGATTCGGCAGAGAGCCCTGATGGCTGGGCCTCGGTACACATCTTCCTTTCCTGTCATGTCCTTGGTGAGACTGAGAAAAATCAAATTAGTCACTATGAGGTCAATTAGAGTCAAGTCTTCCCTCTTGTGGAGTCCCGCCTTAGCTAATTCCACTTGTCCCCATAATTATCTCAACACAGCTATTGATTCAAAAAATACTTATTGTCTTCTTTGATTAAACATTAAAATTATTGGGTAGAAGACTGTTCCAAATCTTAAGAATACAGCAGTGAGAAAAACAAGGTCTTTGTATTCATGGAGCTTATATTCTAGCAATAACAGAGAGATAATAACCACATAAATCGTATTTTAGTTACTGACAATTGGCATAAAATAAAATAAAAAGATGCTCAGCTGGCATGGCTCAGTGATTAAGCAATGACCTATGAACTAGGAGGTCACAGTTTGATTCCCAGTCAGGGCATATGTCCAGATTGCAGGCTCGATCCCCAGTGTGGGGTGTGCAGTAGGCAGCCGATCAATGATTCTCTCTCATCATTGGTACTGATGTTTCTGTCTCTCTTTCCCTCTCCCTTCCTCTCTGAAATCAATAAAAAAAAATTTTAAGAAAAAATAAAGTTGAGACCCTGGCAATCGTTGGGCTGACATTTTGGCAAGGCAGCAGCACATCCTTGCTCTCTGAGTCTCGTGATGCCGCCCAAGGACAAAAAGAAGAAAGATGCTGGAAAGTCAACCAAGACAGACAAAGACTCCATGAACATGTCTGGGAGCAAAGCCAAAAGGAAAAAGCAGTCCAAAGGCAAAGTTCGGAACAAGCTCAATAATCTTGTTTGACAAAGCCACATATGACAAGCTCTGTAAGGAAGTCCCCAACTACTAGCTTATAACCCCAGCCCTGGTCTCCAAGAGGCTCCTTGGCCAGGGCAGCCCTTCAGGAGCTCGTCAGTAAAGGGCTTATTAAACAAGTCTCAAAGCACAGAGCTCACGTGATATACACCAGAAACACCAAAGGTGGGGATGCCCCAGCTGCTAGAGAAGATTCATGAACAATAGATCTCACCGGCTGTACATTTTGAAAAATAAACCTTTATTAAATAATAAATAAATAAAGATAGATAGATAGATAGATAGATAGATAGAATTCAGAGCCCTGGGCTGAAATCTCCCCAAATCCTAAAAACCCACCATATCAGACATAACTCTTTAAAAGAAGCTGACCGGCCCTGACATGGCAGTGGTGACACTGACGCAGTGGGTAGCTCAGCTGGTTAGAGCATTGTCCTGCTACATGAAAGCTGCAGGTTTAATACCTGGTCAGAACACATGCAAGAATCGACCAATGAACGTATAAACAAGTGGAACAACAAATTGATGTTTATTTCTCCCTTTCAAATCAATAAATTAAAAATTAAAGAAACTGACTGAAATGATGAGGTCACTTTCTCAGCCATGCTTTCTAAAATAACAATTTTCAACCACTTTACACTTTTCTGCCTCATTTCAAAAACAGGCCAGAGTAGTGTGGACTAAGCTACTAAATTCCATGCCTATACCTCAAAGAGGTGCTTAGCCTTTCTGTTCTTCACCCTATTGCCCTTCCTTCTCTCATCCTCATGCCCTGACACTATCCCCAACATGACTACCCATCTCCCTGCTCAGCTCTCCTCATGTAATCAAAATGGCCACACCTCCAACACACTCCATTAGGACGCCAAGAAGAGGAAGTTGTGAATAACCGTTAGTCCTTCAATTTCATTCTTTTTTCAATTATTGAAGTATTTCATTTATGTAACAGGTACACTTTCAAAATATTCATAAAGGTAAAAAAATAACAAGTCTAAATCTCCCATCATGCACCCCTGACTATATAGTACCAGTTTTTAAAATATATGGAAAACCACAGAGACTTATTAAAATGCATGCTAATGGGTCTCCACTCTTCTGGTACCTTCCTTTTTTACTTAATAACATAACCTGAGAATCTTTCTGATTGGCAGATTTTTTAAATAAAATAAATCTTTGTTCATATTACAAATGTTTCTCATTTTTTCTCCCTCCATTGCTCTCCTCACCAGATTCCCATCCCACCCTCTGCCCTTTCCCCATCCTCCATTGTTCTCATCCATAGGTGCACAGTTTATGTTCAGTCTCTTCCAGCACCCCTCACTCCCCTTTTCCCCAAGAATGGTCAGTTCACTCCCCTTCCATACCTCTGATTCTGTTATATTCAACAGTTAATATTGTTCAGATTTTTTAATTCCCTTGGATTTTAGATTCACTTGTTGATAGTTACATATTTGTTGTTCATAATTTTTATCTTTATTTTCTTCCTCTTCCTAAAGAACCCCCTTCAGCAATTCATATAATTCTGATTTGGCACTAATGAACTCCTTTAGCTTTTTTTTTAATTAGTGAAGCTCTTTCTCTGGCCTTTGATTCTGAGTGATAGCTTTGCTGGGTAGAGTATTTTTGGCTGTAGATTCTTACTATTCATAACCTTGAATATTTCTTGCCATTCCCGTCTGGCCTGCATGGTTTCTGTTGAGAAATCAGCTGACAATCGTATAGGTGCTCCTTTATAGGTAACTACCTGCTTTTTTCTTGCTGCTTTTAATATTCTTTGTCTTTTGCTCTTGGGATTTTAATTATGTCTTGGTGTGGTCCTCTTTGGGTTCCTTTTGTTTGGAGTTCTGTGCACTTCCTGGACATGTAAGTCTATTTCTTTCACTAGGTGGGGGAAGTTTTCTGTCACTATTTCTTCCAATATTCTTTTGGTATCTTGCTCTCTCTCATTTTCTGGGACCCCCATAATTCTGATGTTGGTTCGCTTGAAGTTATCCCAGAGGTTTCTTACACTATCTTCAACTTTCTGGATTCTCTTGTCTTCTTGCTTCTGTGGAGGAGTGTCTTCTGACTCTTTATGTTCCAAATCTTGGACTTGATTCTTGCGATCTCCCATTCTGTTTTTTAGGACTCTGTATAATATTTTTTTATTTCAGACAATGTATTCTTTATTTCTAGTTGATCCCTTTTTATTTCTAGTTGATCCCTTATCATATCCTCATAGGTCTCGTTTATTTTATCGGCCTTTTCTAGGAAATTCTTGAAAAACTTTATAAGTGTGATTTTGAACTCTATATCCAGTCGCTTTTTGTCCTTCATTTCTTTCCTTTGTGATCTGTTTCCTTGTCTCGGCATTTTCACTGCTTCCCTGAGTTGGTAGGGTGGCTTTGTGTGTTAGGGTGTCTTATATGGTTCAGTGGGTCAGTCTCCCAGTTACCTGAGGTGGACACTCTTAGTGCCCCCTTTTGTCAACTATGTGAACAGCCTTGTTGTAGTTAAATCAGGATTGTTGTTGGTATCACTGGGAGGAACTGACCTCCAGGCCAATTGGCTGTGAGGATCAGCTGTGTCTATGCCAGGAGATAGCCTTATTCGACTAGACTTGGAAAATTGTAAAAGCCTCTGTGCTCAGCTTGGATGGGGTGGAGTTTCAGGGTGGAGCCTACAGCCTTGGCTTCCTGTCAGCCCCACCCTTTGAGGTTCCTGAGTCTGTTTTCCTCAGTGTCCTTCGGTACTCACTGCAAGCACCTGTGAGAGAAAGGTACCTTCTAGTCTCACCCATTACCAAACAGTCTAGGCTCTCCCCCAATGAGCCCGGAACTGGGGTTCAGTGTGGTTGGAAGTGGGGTTCAGAGCAGTCTGGAGCTTGTTTCCTTCCCGCTAGGGCAATCCCAAGGCACAGTCAACACTCCGTTCTCTGTGTACAATGTGCGCACCTCCAGGACTGCGTTTCGCCACTCCCCTGAGTTTCTGCCTTACAGCCCAGAATCCCTCCGTATGAGCCTGAGTCCCCAGGGTCTTGCCTAGAACTGGGGTTAAGTGCAGTCAGAACTGGGGCTCAACACAGTCCAGAGCTTTTGTCTCCTTCCTGCTAGGACAATCTAGCAGCAGAGTCAACAGCCCGTCCTCTGCGCGCAGTGTGCGTGTTTCCGGGGGCTCTGCCTTTCGCTGCTCCCGAGGTTCTGCCTTACAGCCCAGACTCCTTCGGTATGAGTCTGGGTCCCCAGGGTCTCGCCCAGAACTAGGGTTCAGTGCTGTCGGATCTGGGGTTCAGCACAGTCCAGAGCTTTTATCTCTTTCTCACTAGAGAACGCCAGCGAGGCACTCAGCCGCCCCTCTTCTCTGGCTCCTTCCTCCATACCTTGGGCTTTTACAGCTCCTCTGATTTCCCTTCTGGTTTTCTCTTTCCTTCTAGTTGTAGAATTTCCAGTCAGTCAATTTTTCTGTAGTTCTGGATAATGTCCATTTTGTATTTTAGTTGTATTTTTTTTTTGAAATTGTTTGAGGCTGCAGTTAGGCGTTTACCTATGCCACTATCTTTGATTGGCAGATTTAAAAAAAAAATTAAGTTATTTATATTTTTTAAATAACCAAATGTTTTTATTGGTGACAGTACCATAGCCTGGCCTGCATCATGGAAGAGAATTCCCAACCTAACAGGGTCTTATCTGCAGCCTACTACCTCAGTGAGTATTCAGTAGCCCAGTGGTCAGCACATGTGGCTCTGGAGCAGCAGTTTGCCGCTCTGTTGACTAATGAGTTTGTCAACCAGTGACCTAGACTCTCGAGTCCAATAATTATAGGCTGTTGTTGTTCCTTGTGATTAACCCCCTATCCCAATGGTCAGCAAACTCATTAGTCAGAGTCCCAGTTTGCTGACCACTGCCGAAGGCTATCCCATCATGGGGTGTCTGCTCTTGGAAGCAGAGCATGGTAAAACCTTTGGATCTCCTAGTCTTAAGCCACTGCCATGCGGCTTTTGCCATGAAATGCATGGCAATGTCATATAGAACACCATGGCAATAAATTAAGAATAACTGTGTACCACAACTTGGACTGCTGCAAGCCCCTTATTCATCCTATATTTTACAGTGGTTTTCCCATGTAATCTTTTAAAAATTATATAATCAAATTTATCAATCTTTTCTTTCATTGTCCCTGGAATTAAAGAGGAATACATTCATGTTTTCTTCTAGTACTTGTATGGCTTTACTTTTTAATTTATAT